TCAACTTGTTTATGAGTTGATTTTTTCATCATGAGTTGGAAACTTGGTATGCATGAATGTTGTTGGCTAATTTTTGCATTTTTTGTGATTTCTATTTGCGTTTGGCTTAATTATCTATTTAATTATTCTTAATCAACAGATAGGCAGATAGCTGATAGCCCTATTTCTCCTGCACCCATGAACTTGCGAATCCGAATTAGATGATGAAGATACCAAACTATGGAGAATGCAGCAGCACTTGTTTTGCTTTTATTTCTTAATTATTTATTTGATAATACCCAGCCAATTAATCATATTTAATTTTATTGTTTTATGATTGTATAAACTATACAACAACACTTATTTTTATTTTGAAATGTCGATGGAATTATGTTTGCTTTGAATTTGTATTTTATGTTAGTTAAATGATACAATTATATTTAAAAAAATATACAGGGTAAACAAATTACAAGGTTATTTAAATAAAAAATAATAAATTAATTAATTGATTATTAAAAAAAAAACAGGTTTAGACGGGTCGGGTTCAGGTCAACCCGTTTAAAACCAGGTCGGGTTCAGGTTGACTTTTTTGACCTGTTTAAGTAAACAGGTCGGGTTCGGGTTGGGGGGTCCTGACCTGTTTATCTAAACAGGTCGACCTGAACCCGACCCAACCCGACCTGTTTGCCAGCCCTAATATATACTATATTAATTTCATCAATTTATGTTGCTTGTTTTTTCCCTTATTCTATATTCGTGTACGTTAGAGTAAATTACTCTTGAATAATCTCTTTGTATTTTATTATTTGCTACATTTCTTTATACGCGGAGTTGTAGTAGGAATAGAAAAAAATAATAAAATATAGAAAAATTACACTTTAATTATCCCCACTATTGACGATATAATTTTAATAATCCCAACTATGCTATGAATTTGCCTCCAATGGTTCCAATGACTGGAAACCTGCCGAAGAGTTTTTTTTGGGTTTTAATAACCACATGTCAACACATGATTTGTCAAATAAAGTAAAATATAAAAACTTTAAAAAAAAATCTAACCACCTTCCCCCATTGCCAAACCCTAACCCCAACCCTAAACTCGCAAGAAATCGTCCAACCACCTCCCTAGGGCTTGTTCTGATTTACTGAATTGAGATTAAATGAATTGAACTAAAGTGAACTGAACTCAACTGAGCTGCACTGATGAATTGTTTATTAGAGAAAAAAACTAGGAACTGAACTTAACTGAAATTAAGCTGAAAAGATCGATCAGGTCCTTTGTCACCGAAAGTTCGAAATCGGCCAGCCGACTTTCTACCACCCAATCAGACCTACTCTCGACCTCCAAAACCACATATTAACAGTGGAATGAATGTATTTACATCACACATACAAAGAACACAAATTATTATATGTGGCTGAAGTTATTCGAGTTACTTCGTCAGAGATTATTACTCAAAGGGTTCGGTCAGGGGTGACTCGATCGAGGGGTTCGGTCATAGGGTACTACTCTGTCATGGGTTACTTGAAGGTTACTCATTCAGGGTTTACTCGAGGGCTGAGGTTACTTGGTCAAGGGTCAGGTTACTTGAGGGGTTACTCGGTTAGAGTTAAACACTGACATCCATACATAATACACAATATACACTTATTATTATTATTATTATTATTATTATTATTATTATTATTATTATTATTATTATTATTATTATTATTATTATTATTATTATTATTACGAAAAAAATTGGGTAAGTCGGACTTACGGTGAGTCCAATATATTTGACTTTGACAATCTAATGTGAAATATCTAAAATTAGATTATTAATGTCAGATATTATATTATTAATGTGAGATATATTGGACTCACGGTGAGTCCGTTCTCACGAAAAAGCTTTCCTTATTATAATCATCATCGATCCTTGTCAATATTAATATAATGTACTTTATTAATTCAAGAATAATAATGTACTTTATAAAACATGATTTTGGACTTTAACCATCAACGAAACCTTAAACTTTTTCTTAAAATGATCGGTTAACATAGAGCTAGATAATTCCTGAGCCTGCTAGCGAGCCATAGTGCTCGATTTTTTAAATTATTTATAATTGAAATATATATAACACAATAGTCAATTAAAATAATAGCAATTGGTGGTTCGTACACTCGGGTGAAAGTGAAATGAACATAGTATATAATTGTAAAGAACAACATGAATTCATAAAAGAACGACTGAAATATAAAGAACTCTATAATTTTTTAGAAAGGGTTTCTAAAAAGAATAAAAGATAAATACTAATCGAGTCTTACCAAAAAATTTAATGTCAAATCATTCAAAATCTTCATATATCAAGAAGTTATCTATCTAAAATTAATTTCACCCAAATATAATTCAAATTTTCATTTTCAAATTTCAAAAATTAAAAATTCAAAATTCAAAAACATATTATACAAGTAAAAAGAACATACTTTGTATTGTTGATACCCAAAGAACATGCTTAATTTATACGAAATATACCTTAAAGAACATTGTCGTTAATATAAAGAGCATATAGTTTAAACTCAAAGAACATGTTCATCATACTCAAAAAAAACATATTTCATTCCGTTTTAAAAATGATAAAAGAACATTAATCATAAAATGAAGAACATCATCTTCAACCTTAGAAAATAATACCAAAACATTGATAAAAAAAATTAAAAAAAATACCTTCTTTCAACAACGAATTCGCCAATTACATCTTCCAATTAAAAAGATTCATCGAGATGATAAAATCAACTCCATAATAACATTAAATCACTTCAAAATCTAAACATTATCATGGTTTCTCTCTATAAAATCTCAAATTTTCTCTCTTAACAAAAAAAAAAAGAAATTTTGTTTACCAAAAGTAATACAAAATGTAAATAATAAATCAATTTCATAAATCAAAGAATATAAATAACAAATCAATCCCATAAATCAAGGACATAATCATTTTGATTTTTTTTTACTCGTGTACTTCTTAATTGCACACAATGTTCTTTACGCGTTTATAAAACTCTTGTATTTTATTGGGTGTACCATGAGCATGGTACACCTGGGTGCATGATGAAAATTTCAAAATAATAGTCTTAACAATTTCCTTAAAAATAAACATGATGAATTTCCTACGAAAATTAATGCTTCAAAAACAGGTAGAGTTCGGGATGGATAAATCCCTCCAAAAATAATAATAAAACTCTAATTTAGGGTCTGTTTACATTTACTTAATTTCAGTTCAGTTCAGTTCAGCTCTAATTAGTTCAGTTTAGTTCAGTTCAGTTTAGAGTTCAGCTCCTAATTTCCTCACTCATAAAATATTCATTTCAGCTTAGTTCAGTGTAGTTGATTTCTGCTCCAATTAGTTCAGTTCAGTTCAGCTCTAATTAGTTCAGTTTAGTTCAGTTCAATTCAGCTCAGTTCAGCAAATGTGAACAGACCCTTAGTATTGTATAGAGTAATAGATATGTTTTATTTTTATCACTTTGGATGACTTTCCCATAATGACTGTTAATGAATTAGGGGTGTCAATCGGGTTTTCGATTCGGTTTTGGGTTCGGTTATCGGTTTTCAGTTTGCAACGGGTCGGTTTTTTACGGGTTGGAATTATTATCGGGTCAGTTCGGGTCGGTTTTAAATAATTTCGGGTCGTATCGGTTTGGTTTATTTTTATCACAGTTTCTTTTCGGATCGGATTCTAATCGGGTCGGGTTATAATTGGTTCGGGTTAAATTAGGTCGGTTTAAAAATGGGATTTATCAGTTTAAATCGGGTTTTGGGTCAAAACAAATCGGTACCTAATCGGGTTGGGTTGTAATCGGTTCAAGTCATAATCGGTTCGAGTTGAACTCAGTCGGTTTGACAACTTATTTTGCCAGTTTTAAACGGGTTTCGTTAACGTATATCTTCTACTATAGCCTCTACATTCTTTAATTAGTTATTCCAGTAGATCATATGGAGGATTAATTAGTTGTTTAGTTTTATGTCCCTTTCTTGTATAATGATTTTCAGGATCAAATGATATTAACAAATCTAGATTTACCTTTTGATTCAGATTTTTTTTAATACAATTTAGTGTTCCACAAGCCATTACTCGTAAAAGGACGATAATATTTTATCATAAGAGTTTCATTGACATCAAAATTCCAAACCTATTCAATATAAATACTTTGTATTTCAAATTAAGCCCTTTTGTTTTACTATCGATAAAATATACAAACAAAAAAAATAATAAATAAATAAATTATCATCTACGGTCATAACTGGTTACAGACTTATGAGTTATAAACGGTTTGGTTATAACCGGTTACGGGTTGTAAACTGTTCAGTCATAGTTTAGTACGGGTTATAAATGGTTCGGTCCTAACTAGTTACAGGTTGTAAGCAATTTGGGTTTACCGGGTTTTTGTCGGGTTTAAACGGTTTCAGTTTACAATGGGTCGGGTTGCTACCGGGTTCGGGTGTACTCGGTTTGGGTTGTTCTCGGTTTCAGGTTGTATCAGTTTGGCTTGATAACAGGTACGGTTCATTATCGGTTCTCAAACATTCGGATCGGTTCAGTTTCAAGTTTTGAAAAATCGGGTCGGGTCGGTTTATGGTTTTAAAAGAACAAGTTCTTATCGGTTCGGTTCCTTTTTGAAACGGTTCGGATTCATTAGTTCGGTTCGGTTTTTGACAGCTCTAGGTCTAATAAATAAGTTATTTGTGTCAAAAAAAAAAAAGTTATTCGATCTCATGCAACTAGGTCCAGTAAATTCCAGTTGGATTTAAGAAGTTCAAAATTAGTTTAGGTGACATTAGATGAGGAGAATGAGCCTTTTATTTGGTTGATATTCATTGATTGCTTGGAAAGGAAAAGGGGAAAATCCCTGTTTCTCATGGTGAGAAACGAAATTTGTTTCTCATGGTGGCATTTTCGTGAATAAATCAACAACTTTTTCGTTATTGTGGGCTCCACGGTTGAATAAAGTTGTTGATTTATTTACGAAAATGCCATTTTGTTTCTCACCATGAGAAACTGGGGCACCCTCAAGGAAAAGTACGCTGCAAGCTACATTTCATGCCTACCAAGCCGATAAATAGCGAGCGGATTAGAAGACATATTAGCATCGAGCAAGAGAGAAAAAATAAAGAGAGAAACTCACCTTAAAATTTAACTCAAAAACAAAACCAAAAAAAAAAAAATTAAGAATGGAAGATTTGATGCAAATAAAGCAAAGTCTTAAAGAAAATAAAGACAAACTAATATCTTTAAAGAACAGCGAGGCTTCTAGAGTTGAGGGTGGTATTGATGATGTGAATAGGCTGTTGAAGATGCTGGAAGTTATTGAAGCCAAGCTTTATGTTGCAGAATCTACATTGCAATCGAGTAGTGGTTCTCTTGACAAAGGGTTAGTGGAAAGGGTTAAACATATGCTCTTTCTTTTGGAATCCTTTCTTGAAGGTAATTATGGTTATTCTTATTCAATTAGGAATTTGTTTATTGAATGATTTATTACTAGATTTGTTTAAGAACTTTTCTTAATCTATGTAGAATTAAATGTACAAAAAGTACTTCTTCTGTTCTTTTGTAAGGCAAATGCTAATTATTGGATTAGACTTGCATTGTAAAACTAATAAATGGCAGCCACTCACTCACCCACACACCGCACTTTCTCTATCTTCCTACAACATTGGCGGGCTACCATTCAGCCACACCCCTTCTCCTTGTCGGTGTCGGGTCATAGGAATCAGCAGTGGGGGAGGGATGGGGTGTTTTGATGGTGGCGAAGGCTTGGTGCGGCTTCTAGAGGTGGGGGAAGGGTTTTTCGTGGGTGAGGGTTTCGTAGGTGGATGTGGTTGGTCAGTGGGTGGGGGTTTTGTGGGGTGGGAGTAGCCGGCTGTGGGTGGGGGGGTATCGTGAGTAATGTGACCGGTCCGTTAGTGGGAGTGTCTGGTTTCAGGGGATGAGGTGGTTGGGTGGAGGGTGGCTCCACATCTGGGTGGCCGCCTATCCAAAATTAATGGAGGAGGGGAAGGGGAAAAGGAAAGAAAATAGGAAAACTTAAAAAATTAATAAACGCAAGCTAAGTACCAAATGTAGTACAAAATAACGTAAATGCAGAAATTAATTAATAATACGAAAATAATAAAAACACTAAAATACCTTTTTCCAAAATGGAAAAACTAATTCGCCATTTCCCCGGGCTTTTAGTGTTTTTTTTTTTTTTAAGACACCGGGCTTTTAGTTTATACAGTTTTTATTTTGCAATTCATTTTATTCGCCAATTTTTTTCATTTCATTCACCATTTGAGTCAACATTTTTTTTTTTTTTTTTTGCAATTCATTTCATTTCACCATTTCCTTTAAAATTCTTCGATATTTAATTTTTAGCGCGGCATGTAGAATTATAAATTTTTGTTGTAGCCAATTAAATAAGAGATTATTAATTTCTTTTAAAATCAAATAATTCAAATGCCACATAGGAAAAATTGCCGAATGTAATTTTTAAGTTTAAATTAACTAAATATTATATATTATCTTTTAATATTAGGTATTTTATCTAAATATATAACAAAATTTAGCACATTAATACAAAAAAAAATTATTTACAAAAAAATCAAATAAACCATACATCGCACGGGCTTCATCTAATGACCTTCGAAAATCTTAGCCACATAAGTTGGAGATTTTATTTTGTTTGATTGTTCATTTATTACAACACATAATTTTCATACCTCAAAAAAATGTTGTAGTGCACTTTATTATTATTATTATTATTATTATTATTATTATTATTATTATTATTATTATTATTGTCAATGAATTTGTCTAGTATTGAATATTAAATATGATTCAAGTTTGAATACGTTAGAATATAGTTGTAAATTAATTAGTAGGGACGATGATTATATTGTTAGGAATAAAAAATAATTTAATTTTAATTATTTAAAAAAGTGTAAAGGATTAAGGGTTTGTTCACTTCAACTTAATTTCCGTTGGTTAAGCTCCAATCAGTATGTTAGTTCAGTTCAATTCAGCTCCAATCAGTTCTGTTCAGTTCTGCTTATAATTTCCTTTTTCCATAAAATATTCATTTCAGCTCAATTCATTTCAGTAAATGTTAACATGCCTAAGTAAAATTAAGGACAAAATTAGAATATATTTTTTATTTAAATAATTTATTCTGCATATAGGTAAGTTTTTCCCTACATTTAGTACCCACCTTAATAAATAAATAAATCATGCTTTTTATAATAAAAAATATGTTCGGAGAAATCACGAAGTGACATGTAGTATTTGGACCTATCATACCGATTACCAACTGATCTAGCACCAATTGAAGCAAATGCCCCTATGTTAAGATGAAATTATTAGAATTAATTTTCCTATGTATTACTATGTTATGTTATGTAAGGCCCCTTTCATTTCACCCTATTTTTTTTTAACTGAAACTATTTTTACTGAACTAAAATTATTTTTGTTGCACTTTAATTATTTTTAGGGAACTAAAATTATTTTTTTTTACTGATTTTCTATTATATTTGTTCTTTAATTTTACTGATTTTTACTGAACTGAAATTATTATTATTTTATTTTGAGGAAGCTAAAATTATTTTTTTATTGAACTAAACTTATTTTACTGGAAAAAAAAAATAATTTTATTAAACTAAAATTATTTTTACTACATATTATTTTTTGAGGTAAAGTGAACAAGGCCTAAAGATATCATTTGCTTTTATCAATCAAATCTATAATTTTTTTTTTGACAACATAATTATTAGATTAGAAAGAACCTTATATTAAACTTAGCGTAATGTTTATCTTAACTTGCAGTGAAGAGGCTAAATATGGTGTTTTATTTATTAATTAATTTTTTTTTTTTTGGGATTGGCTTTTATCCATAGGTGATCATATGAAAGGAAAGGCCAAGATGTTTGAAGAGGAAAGTAAAGTGAAGCCTAAGAATCTCCTAGAGAAATTGTTCAAGCTTTTAAAAGATGAGGAGGTGAGTGTTAAACTGTTAATGAATCTGACGATGGGAATATGTTTTTTTCAAAGAATATACTACCTCCGGTTCAATTTAGTCGCAATAAAGGAAAATTTTGCGCAAATCAAGGCAAAAGATTGAAAGCATGAATATGGAAAAATAAGGGTACATGCTTAACTATTAATCCAATCCAAAAAAACAAAAAAAAAACCTTAATTAAATTAAAACAGTAACACACCACCACCACTATTGACACCACCAAGCATCACCCAAACCACCCACCACCACCACCCAGCATCACCGAAACTACCCAGCACCGCCGACGCACCACCACCGCACCACGCACCCAGCAACCCGTCGTCCCACCACCACCACCACCCCACGACGTACCCAGCAACCCACGAACGCAACCACTACCACGAACCTAGCAACTACCACGACCCCACCACCACCACCCCACGCACCCAGCAACCCACGAACCCAGCCGTGGATTTGAAACCCACGAATCAAACCCACGAAACCAAACCACCGATCTGCAACCCACGAATCAAACCCACGAAACCAACCCACAAACCACTATCGCCGCTGATCGGAAACCCACGAATCAACCCCACAAACCAAACCGCCGATCTGCAACCACGAATCAAACCCACGAAACCAACCCCACGACGCCGCCGATCTACAACCCCCGTCGCTTGTAACACCATGAAGCCACCATGAAAATGGGGTTGGAGGAGGAGATAGAATATTAAATGGGATGAGAGTATAATTAATTAAGATTGGGGTTTAATTTAATGAAATCAGATTTGTAATTTAATAAGGGTGTTTAAGGAAAAAAAAAGTAAGGGCATATATGTCATTTTACAAGCTAAAAGTTACCAAATAAGGAAAAAAAAAATTGTTACAAGTAATTTGAACCACCCCAAAATGGAAATTGTTGCAATTAAATTGTACCGGAGGTAGTAATATAGAAACTTCATGCTTAATTAAGAAATATTTTTTAGGTTGTCCACAAGCATAGACAAATATGATAGAGAATCTGTTAAGATTTAATTCGGTAAAATAATTTAATTTAGGGTAAATTGATGATTATCAATCCCAACTTTAACCTATTTTTTTGCAAAAATAAATAATCCCGAACTTGAATTATATTTAACAATTCGAATTTTAATGTCATTCGCTTTCATTGGTGCAGAAAATGGACCAAAGCAAGTACTATATGTTTATATACAATAATATGAATGCAAATTTATATATATTTACCTTCTTTTTCATATATACTACGTATATAATTGCATTATTTGTCTTTTTGGATTTAGTTACATATCATGAATTATACTATAAATACACAATTAAGGAAAATTCTCTATAGTAGCTCTCAACAATTATTATAGTAAGATGGTAGCTCTCCCTTTTTTTTAATGGCGCAAATTCAAAACAAAACAAAAAAAAAAAAAAAAAAAAAATAAGTCCCACAAATGGCAAATGTAGATTATTATGATAAATTTTTAGTAAAAAATTAACTAAGGTTAGATGTTTATAAAAAATAAATAAATAAAGTAACCTCATTACTTCGCAAGTAACTAAGAGACGGCTCCAGAAACTTGCTTTGTATAGGACGGGCCGTATAAACTACGAAGTACAAGAATTATTTGATTTAAAAAACACACCAAAAAAATGGTTGTAGTGAAATTTAAACCCTTACCAAGGGGCTCTATAGCAAGGATATTATAGCTAGATGTTTAAAACCAACTCATCTAGCTATCTTTTAATTTGCACAATAAATATATCAACTTTATCCATAAAAGTACTACAAAAATCAAGGCTAGGGTGGGCCATGGCCTGGGCAGGCCCGCCCATGAATATGTCTTTGTTAGATGTTCATATGTGGATGACAAAATATTGTAAATCAAATCCATACCATTTACATACATCAGTACTCTAGGCATTACTAAATACCTTCCTTTCATGTACTGTTAAATATTGTTAAAAACAAAAAATAATATAGTCATGTGAGATCTTATAGGATTCGCTCGATTGATATTAATGAATATCTACTTCATAATTATTAATAGGTTTTGTATGGACCCGGTCTACACAAAATCTATTGTAAACCCAATATTTGACACTCCCAATTAAATAGTCACATTTTGATGACATAAAATAGTTCTTTTTTAGATGATATAATTATTTTGTTGCGAGTCATATTTGAATGATATAGTTACTATTTAATACTTTTTTGATACATTTACTGTTTGAATTATATACATGGTAAATAATATAAGCAGTTTCTAATAATATAATCACTTTTGGATGATATATTTAGGCCCTGTTCACTTCATCTTAAAATAATACTCCCTCTTTTTTTTTTATTTGCATCACTTTGGATTGCACAAAGTTTTAGGAGAGTAATATAATATTGTGAGTTGGAAAATAATTATTATAGTAAAAGTAAGATGGTGATCATGAAAGAGAAAGTATGTGAGAGATGATAGATATTTTTATTATTTAGTGGGGAACATAGAAGAGAAAGAAATGATAAAATAAATTGAACTGGGTTTAAAGTAAGAGATAGAAATAATAAAATATACTTCCTCTGTTCTTTTTTACTTGAACTGTTTCTTTTATCACGCTTGCCAATGCAAAACTTTAACAATCAATAACATAAATTATCCATAAGTAAAAGTTATAAAAGTTATATATTATGATAGTACTTATTGAGAGGAATCCAAAAAGATCATACATGATTATATTTTTCCTTACATATTATTCACAAAAGATGGTCAAAGGAGGAGTGGTGAATAATGTAAAAGTCAAAGCGGGTCAAGTAATAAAGAACGAAGGAAGTAGTATAAAGTTACCAAAAATAGAAGTGGTGCATTTAAAAAAAAACACCCCAAAAAGGAAATTGATGCAAATAAAAAAACAGAGGGAGTAATATTCAGCAAAAATAATTCCAGGTTAGTAAAAATAATTCCAACTCAGTAAAAATAAATTTTGTTCAGTAAAAATAATTTAATTGCAATAAAAATAAGTTTAGTTCATTAATAATAATTTAAATTTAGTAAAAAAAATTTAGTTCAATAAAAATCAGTAAATTTAAAGATGAAATATAATAGAAAATCAATAAAAATAATTTCAGTCCAATAAAAATAATTTAAGTTCAGTAAAAATAATTTTAGTTCAGCAAAAATAAGGTAAAGTGAACGAGGCATTACACTTTTAGAATGTTATAATCACTTTTGGTATGAAATAATCGATCACATTTCGATAGATATAATAGATGGTTGGGTACACATAAAAATAAGTTATTGTGTACCAGACCTATTAAAGAATATCTATATAGTTATTACACATATAAAAAAAGAGATATAATCAATTTAAGGAGCACCTTAGAAACCGTAAAAAGTTAAATGGGCTAAAATATTAGGGACGGAGTACATTGATAAATAAATAAAAGGAAAAATTGTCAAAAATAATACAAACTTTTAATGGTCCGCTAAAAACAAGTCAAACTTTTGATAATTTCAGAATAATACAATCTTTAGGGGGTTTTCGCTTTAAACAAAATATTTTACCTACAACTTACATAACCGATTAACATTTTTCTTTTTTTAATGATAAGTTCGATTTAGCAATTTAATTAACTCTTAATTAAACTTTAAATATAGTTGATTAACATTTAAAAAATCCCTTCCTCCACCACTAGGCACCCCACCATCCCCCACCAGAAGCTCCCATCTCTCACTCCATGGGCGGACCCATGAAGGAACAAGGGGGACCATTGTCCCCCCACTTTCGGGAAACAAAAAAACAGAGGAAAAAAAATTTAGGAAAAAAAATAATACTGTGAAAACAGTTATATAAAATTGAGTGTAAGAATAAACAAGAAGTTTGCCTTAGCTAAGTTGGTAGTGGGCTAGAAAAAATATGTCAAGGGGCCCAATTTCATATTTTCCTAGATTAGGGTTCGAATCCCCCTTGTAACATATTTCCTTTTTTTTTTTTTGAGTGTTTTATTTTAGGCTATTTTGACTTTTATCACCCACAAAAAACGAAAAATTTGGTATTACCACCTCCATAAAAAAAAAGTTTTATTTTACGACCACATAAAAAAAAAATTTGGCTTTTACCACCAATCACCTCCAACTAACGGATTCCGTCCATAAATCCGTTAGGGGCGTACCATACATGTCCACGTGTCATCATATTATTGGGTTTTGTTTTTTTATTTGTTACTTTATTTATTTTTTTACCCAATAATATGGTGACACGTGGACATGATAGGCCCCACTAACGAATTTATGGACAGAATCCGTTAGTTGGCGGTGATTGGTGGTAAAAGACAATTTTCATTTTTTTTTTTATGTGGTGATAAAATAAAACTTTTTTATGCAGCTGGTAAAAGCAATTAAGTTGTTTTTTGGAGGTGGTAAAAATAAAAAATTTCCTTTATTTTAACCAAACCACTCGACTACTCCATTCTATTTCCCAACCACGAGGCACGAACCACCACCCCACGCGGGCACGAGTCACAAAATGCAGCGAGCATCTTCGGCAAATGTTTGCTAAGAAATTAACATCACAATTTAATATGGCATTCGAATCCCCCTTGTAACATCACTCCTTTTTTTGGGGGGGTGTTTTATTTCAACCATACCACTCGACTAATCCCTTATTCCTATTTCCCAACCAAACCCAAATTACTTGTATTGTGTACCTTTTTTTTTAAATAGGTTGTTCTTAGTTGAATTATCGAAATTGTCCCCCCATTGTCAAATTAGGTCCGCCACTGCGATTCACTCCACCACTACAAGAAAATATCTTTTTCGTAGCGATTATTTTAACCTTTAGTATCGATTGTAATTGCAATAAAAAGTTTTCCCAACGAATGGTCATTCAATACAATATCCCCCGTTGCCTTAGCCTTTAGTAGTGGTTTTCAATATCGCTGGGGTTGGCCTCAATAATCGATACAAAAACCTACATCCAATCGTGGTGATTATTGTAGCGATTACAATCGCTATAAATGTTTAACTCATTTTCTTCAAAAAAAAACATGTGTATGATCTTTACAAGATTCGAACATGCAACCTCAAACTCTTATATTAAATGTTTCACCAATAAGCTATGACATATTTTATGTATTCTCAAACAATATTTATATATGTAGTGTTGAAAAGGTTTTTCGTATCGATTTTTAGGATTTCGTGGCGATTGTAAATGATACGATTTCTCAAAATTATATAAATGTGTAAAAATGGTGTGGATATGTATTATTATGTTTTCCGTATCGATTTTATATAGGAAAACCATGGCGATTGTAAAATGATACGACTCCTTAATTATTTCACAAACATACTTGCATATTGTAGCGAATGTACAATCGCTACGAAATAATCGCTACAAAAAGGCATTTTTCTTATTGTGCACCCTCGGCGATGCCAGCCCAGCTACCCCACCGAACTACCGCCAACACTGTCGTCGCTCTCCGCTTACCCCGAACCACCATCACCAAACCCCACTCCCCTATATATCCAGAACCACCATCATCAAAATCCCCATCCCTTCCTACAAAAACCCAAGAAAATTCCAAAATTATGCAACATCCTAGCAATTATGGTCTAATTTATAATTATTCATTCCTAAAAGACAAACAATCAATCAAAGATTTCAAAGGGGGATAATCACATGCCCTGTAAGATACAACCAAAGCCAAAACTTTAAACTTATTCCCACAAAGTTCTCAAGAATCCTCAATACCCGCCAAATCAAACTCCTTAATTGCTGACTTAGGGCTTGTTTACATTTACTTAATTTTAGTTCAGTTCAGTTCAGTTCGATTCAGCTCCTAATTTCCTTCTCTCATAAAAATATTCATTTCAGCTCAGTTTAGTTTAGTTCAGTTCAGTTCAGTTTAGCTCCAATCAGTTCAGCTCAATTCAGTAAATGTATACATGCCCTTAATAAGCAATTTGTCCCGTGTTTTTCGTTGACCACGAGCTAAAATGTGAATAATGGTGACGATGGAGGAGAGAGAATGGCAGTGACGCGTAGTGAAAAGGAAGAAGCGGAAGGCGAGGTGGGGATTGTTGCATATGTCGAGGAGGATTTGGGAGGTTTGAAGTGGGCCGGGGTGAAGCCGCTAGTGAGGGAAGGGTGGGGGTGCCGCCGGAAGTGGGGTCGTCGCTCGCGGGGAGGCTGGCAGGGGGTTGCAGAAGGGGTAGCTAGTGGTTGTTTTTTTAAAATGATAATAATAATAAATATTATATATCTTTTAAAATTAAGAATTTTAAATAAATTAGGGATTCTTACGCGTGCGATGGGGCGCAGATGACAGGCTTTTAAGAAGAATTATTACGGGTGGTCTTTATGCCTTATGCATATTTGCATGGTATTTTATTATATCTATTTGCATACTAATTTTTAACTACTTATTGATGAGACGAATTAAATAAATTAAACAAGTCATCATATAATTATATATTTTTTAAAAAATAAAGTGTCTTAAAAAATGCTTTGAACATTGAAATAAACACAAATAATTAATCAATTTTGGTGATTCAAGAGACATAAAGGCCTTGTTTAAAAAAAAGAGACATAAAGGCTTTTGAATTCAATGGGGGTTAAATATGTAAAAGAACATTATTAGAGCTATAAATGTCCATGCACTATTCATAATTAAGAGCATTCTCCCAATATTTAATAAGGTAGGGATAAATAATCAAATTATATTGCTAAACAAATAAAATTTTGACACGTGTCCTGTATTACATGTTAGCTAAGTTATTTATCGATCATAACTTGTTTTGAGAAAAAACCCCCTAAATTTTTGACAATTTTTCCTAAAATACAAAAGATCGTTAAAATCAAGAAATAAAGAATGTATTTTTGATAAAACGGGCTTGGGTCACACCCGTCACAAGTGTCCACTTTATCCGACGGGAGTAGCGCCTTAGCCTTATAAAGTGGACACAACTTTCTCTTTTCTTCAATGTGGGGTACACATTCCAATATTTTTCTTCACTTTTTCACTCTTTTAATGCGGGACAAAACTTTCACTCACATGTGGATTTGCTGATAGTCCCAACACTTTTACTACATGGATGTTCTAGCACATTCATACACATGTTATATCTTGAAACTATATATGGCAATAAGAGTAATAATCACTTAATTATTAAAGTGATTTTCATCAAATTTTTTTAAACAAGTGGACTTTGTTCAAAAGCAAAGCATTCAAAGATGAAGCAAAGGAATCTAATAATGAGATTTTGTTGGAGATTGCTACAGAACTTTTTAACAAGTACCATCATAATCCAATCTTCCTAGACGTAGTAGCTGCTCTTTTTTCGTCAAAAAAAACAGCAAAGGAATGGGAATCTTGTCGTGACAAAGTGTTGGAAACTTTGGGAGATGCATCAAAAACCAATCCATTTTACTTGAAACTTAGCAACTATGAACAATTACCCTCAAACATTCAGATGTGTGCGCGGTTTTGTTCGTTATTTTCGAAGGATTATACGTTCAATAAGACCGATTTGATACACTTGTGGGCTTCTCAACAAGAGGACTTATTAAGTACAGCAGCAACAAAGTCGGTTGGGGATGAATATTTTGAGGAATTACTGAAAGAAGGGTATTTCTTTGAAATCATTCAAGAGGGTACTGGTGACATACTTGGCTATAAGATGCACTATTTAGTGAATGAGTTCCTAAAGGAAATAGCAAAACCCGAGTTTTGTTTAGTCGATGAGTCTATTGGGGAAATCAATGCTGGTAGTATTTTGAATTTAAGTTTTATTGTCGACTCTTCATGGAAAGCACCATCATGGATGCTTAATGCTAAGAATTTGAAGTCTCTTCTTTTCTTGCCAAGAAAAAACTATGAAGATTTTGTAGAAGTTTTAAAATTGGACGAAATCTTTACAAGTTTAACATGCTTACGAGCATTGGATTTGGTTGCAATGAATTGCGAAACACTTCCAAGTTCTTTGGTAAAACTGAAGGATTTAAGGTACCTTAGACTCGGCATCTCCCTTGGAAGGCTTTCTGAGAGTGTCACAAGGTTGGAAAATTTGAAGATATTGGACCTTCGACACTCTAGTATAATGGTTTTGCCAAGTGACTTTCACATAAATTTAAAGCATCTAAGGCACTTGTATGTTGGAAGTAGATTGATTGATATGCCATCGGAAATTTCGGAACTTAAGTCTCTCAACACATTAGATGAGTTTATAGTCGGGAAAAATAATGGGTTAGATACACTAGGTTGCTTGAAGCTTGTTGGGAAGCTAACAGTTCGTTTTGAAAAGAAAAATAAGCATCATGAAGTATTAAAGGATAACAACTCAATAACTGACTTGTCATTGATTTGGTCGCCTTCATATGGAGGACAAACCACAGGTGATAATAGGCATCATTTCTTGCAGCCGCCTACTAGTCTTGAGAGCCTAGCAATTCGCGGTTGGAAGGAAGAAAGGTTCAGTAATTTCCCTATACTCGAGAAGCTTGTTTCTTTGTGTATTGAAGACTGCAACAATTGCAAAAATCTACCAAATTTGAGTGGGTTGCCTTATCTGAGGTCTCTTCAACTTTGGGACCTTAAGGCGTTGGAGTACGTAGAGAATGGTGATGATAATAATGAACACGATGCTTCTGCTTCATACTTCCCATACTTGAAGTATCTAACGTTGGCTAATTTACAAGAGCTCAAGGGCTGGTCGAGTCGAAAGAAGGAAAAAGAAATCAGTTTGAATTGTCTTCAACTTAGAATAAAAGGTTGCCCAAAGATGATGTCAATGCCCCAAGTTCCAAATCTTGAGTCCCTCGAAGCACATAACATCCACAAGACATTGCTGAAATTTCTCTCAACATATTCGTCGTCGTCGCCACCGCAACCCATTACCAAAGTGCAGAATCTGGAAATTGTCTCAGTTGTTGAACTTGATTCGACTATCTCATTCAGTAATATCATGAAGTCCTTAACAATCAGACGCTGCCCAAAACTGAATAATTTGTTCTTCACGGATGATATGAATTCGCTCCAACAACTTGTGATCCATGATTGTAGTGGAAATCAAGGGTTGTGAAAAGTTGAACTTGGGGGATGACAACATGGTAAAAGTATGGGAAGGTCTCAAGAGTCTCCAAACCTTGAAACTCATAGGTATCTCCAACCTGGCGTCCCTCGAAAACAGCCTTATGGCCCTTGAAAAACTTGAGGTACTCTCTCTCCATTCATTTTATGAACTGAAAACCCTCCCGGAGTGGATTGGGAAACTCACCAAGCTTCAACGCCTCGCCATTCGAAATTTTCCTTACTTAATTGCACTTCCTGAATCACTTGGTGACCTATCTGCTTTAGAAGAGTTTCAAATTCAATGTTGCCCACTACTCAAACAAATTCCCGATTCTGTTACTCGCCTAAACTCTTTACAGCTTAAGATTTAAGCTGTTTAAGAGATATCAGAATACGAGTGATCCAAACAATCCTCTCAAATCACACACTGATCTCATTCTTTTGGAGTGATGTGATGGCCTTTTGTGTGTTATGCCTTTATATTCTAAGATTTCCTTGCATGAATAAAGTTGTTACGTTACTAATTTCATTATAGGGTGTTTTTATTTGATATACTCATTTCTACATTTTTTTTTCTTTTTGTATTTATTTTGTAAATCAAGAATAATATTTGGGAAGTGTGCACTATAATATATGCTCATGTAAATACTGTTTTTATTTATTATCATGTATCTTAACACAAGCCATCAAAGATTGACTTCAATAACATTTTTGCAATTAGTTATAACACATGCAGTTACATACTGTAGGAAGACTTAAAGTAACAAACTTGATTAATAAAAAGTTTTTGGATGTGTGAATTTAGTAGATTTAACCCCTTCCCTAACTATTTTGAAAACCAGTTTTTGAGTTGCATTCACGGATCGAGAGTAGGACAAGGGGAATCCATATTGAATTAGCACAGGATTAGAAATTCCAATCAATAATTAACATATGAACAAGCTAAGTATTAGTTCCCTAACTTTTGCACTATTTTGAGACATCTTTATGTTTAAACATCTAATAAGGCAATCATCATGAGTCATGTACGGAGTATATTTTAACTTTAATTTTAAGATATAATCAGTGTGTTTTACCTATTACTTCAAAAAAGCTCACAAAGAACGACAAAGTGGTGGAATTATTAAAGTTTTGATGTACTAGTAGTTAGTACTACTAAACTTGCCAACTGTCTTAGTGTGTCGTGCACAAAAAATGACTAGCCCCGTCTCCATCAATCTAAAAGTGAAGGATTACTACGGGTACAACTCTGTTATCTGTATACGACTATACGAGCACTCTGTAAATATCAAGTGATGTTAAATAAGAGATGCTCGATTTTCCTTTTACCTTTTTGCAATAGTCTAACTTTGTACTTCCTCGATGTTTTATTAATCGCAATACAAGGCCATAAGGGGATGTACATTTTTTTTAAAAGTGACACGGAGTAAATGATGTAATGTTACAATTTATGTTAAGCTAAAAACTACTTGACAAGGTAAGTTAAATGCCATCACTTAAACTGTCTAAAAATACAGTTAAGAATTACACCAGCATCTGATATGTTCTACACTTACAATTAGTTATCATTTATGAATAATCAGTTTAGTCCATCCAAACCCCTGATTTTGAAGGAAACGTTCTCCTAAACCAAGATGAGCCATCAACAGCCACACTAATGTGATGAGTTCCCCGCCTTTACTTAATTGCGCGACATGGGACTTGGGTGAGCAACGCGTAGCAGCATAGCATAGCAGCTCTACCCAAACCTTGCTCGTTATCTCCCATTGAATGTCACCAAATGTCTTTAGTTGCTTCGCGAGAAGACAAGCATCAAGCAGCACAGATTTGCTCTTTTCACACTTATTAGCTGTCATAGGCAGAACCTCTGCTTGCATCTTAAGGACTTTATTACAGAACTCCTGAAAAATTAACTCGTCTTTTTTTGGACATGTATTTTGGCCTTCTACTGATGAAATCTGACACATCAATTTCTTGGTTACAAACTTCTTAGCCCCTGCACATATTCTTGTAAACCAACCACTGTCTACGTTCCGGTTCATAACCTTCTTAGCCTCTTCACAGGTATCCTCGAATCGAATCTCAGACATTCCCACCACCAGTGATACCAATGACTTCTGCCTAAGCAAAAGATATGTCATGTAATCTGAAACTTGCTTACAGAAATTAGGATAGTTTGTACCTCGAACATTGTCATCAGCAGTCCAGTAGCATATATCAGTAGCAAGATGCCAAATCAATACACTCTCATCATACTCAACATCCAAAGTCCAAGGATTTAAGTACTTTGATACAAGAAAATAATCATTCTCTAAGACCAAATTACCTCTAGCAGAGTACACTTCTTTACTCGCCTTTATATCAGTAGCTAGCTTTGCTTTCTTCTGTAGTTCTTCTATGATGAAATTCACTACAAGTTGTTCATCAACTTTCTTCGTTTCAACGTATAAAATTCCCATAAGTGCATCCCTAATCCGCTTTATTATAATGAACTTCAAGAATGAAGGAGGACTCTTAAAACATCGATCTAGTAAGTTGTACCTTGAGATGGACTCTGCCCACCTAAATCGACTGTGACCTTTTGTACACCTTAGAAGCTTAAGAAACCGCATCATATAAGATCTCATGTGCTTCGGCAAGCCAACCTTAGGGGTGGTAATAACCCACCAATCCGAGACCATGAGCATGATCACGACGTATACATCAAGGGCTATAGCACCCCCCAACAAGGCAAAGGTTATGCCAATATCGGTCTCATGATAATGGTTTTTGTTCTCGAAAACAAACAATAGTAGGGATGCCACAACCGAGAGGAAGCTAACTATACGAACATAAGCTTGTTTCTTTTGCAACAAAAACACCTTCGTATAGAAGATATCATACACGAAATTAAGCTCTATTTCTATTACTCTGTATACCTTTGATGCAGCCTTATCAAGGAAAAATGAACGACTTTCTTCGCGATCCTCTAAGCTTAGAAAAGCATCAGCTAGAAGACCTTTGAATTTCATGTAAAATTTATATGCATCTTTGATCATTCCATCTTCCTCCTCTTCTGCATAAGCATCAATTCTAGCCTCCCATGTGTTAAAGGACACTTCATTCCTTATGTAATTTTTCAAGTCATTTTGGTGATCAATTCCTTCTAACTTGTTGTCTTTCGATCGATCTGTAGAAAATGTTATAAACAACCAACAAATTAGAATTTTGACAACTTAATACGAACTATGTAGCAATAATGAAATACTCGCGAGTAATATTAATTAATAAAATGTGGCACCTTAATTAGTTGGATTGAAGCTTGCATAATAACCTTATATTCATATAATTCATATACTACGTAATAACCTTTTTGTAGCTAATTTTTTCTAGTCTTTTGGGCAATTAGAGATTTTGTTATGTCCAGGAACATCTTGGTGAGCTCCTAAATTATTTTGTATTAGACTAAGTATAAAATGATATACTCCCTATGTCGGTGCATATAATTGTTTCATTAAAAGAAAATACAAAAACTCTAATTATGAATTAACATTGATATAATTGTATAAGAAATAATTATCATAAAAAAAATATTTGTGCAACTTTTTACATATAATTTTTGTCTTATTATTGATACATAACTAAAAAAAAAATTAGCTAGCAAATAAGTGTCTTAAATAACGTGAAATGTAAACTTGTAAAGGAGGGATCCCTTTCTTTGTTAAAGCAAATCAATTCCTACCACACAAATCATAAAAAGTCCTCAAATTTCCTACCACAAAGTTGCACAACACCTAGAATCTAGACTTGGAGGTTTGAGTCTATTAATAAACTACCAACCACATATACGTACACGATTTTTTAAAAACAAATTTTTTTCTGTATAGGTGGATGATGTTTTAGAGCAAAGGTTTACTTTTGCAATTTAGCAATTAGGTTGTCACTTGTCACTACACTTCATTCATATGGGTTAAGAGTTTAGACAGCCCATTTTGTATGCAACTAGTCAAATCAATCGAATAACCTCAATCGAATAACCCTTAAACATTGATGGAGTACCCATAAAATACTAATAAAGTAACCTTTGTAATAATAGATGAGAAACCTCTATAAAACTAATGAATAATCCCTATAATGGCTCATCACACGAAGTGGCTAGTTACATGTAATAATTTGTACGAGTACTTAAAAAGGTATGACAATATTTTTATTTAATAAGTTGAAGGGTGTGTTTGATTCACCTAATACTTATATTAGATCTTACTTCGTATTAAATTTACTTTAGTTATAATTTACATTTGGTTATTTTGTATATATCCTTATTAAAAATAAGGTGAACAAAACAAGCCTTAAATATTGTTAAATTACTTTTAAACCATATAAGTTCGATTTATATTCCATTTTAAAGTGTTCTAATTAATAAACTCGTCTTATTTTTTACGTTAATCAATTTTTCTAATTTGATATTATCATTTTAATTATTTATATACAATATCAACCTTTTTCCCTCACTCTCTTTTACTTTAATTACTTTTTTCTTTGACCGACTTACATTTTCATTACATCTCAACTATTTAATCCATACACTTGAACACCCATCCCACTCACTTTAGAAAACAAAGAGAGTAATTAAGCATATCAATGATCAAATTTATTAAATTAGCAAGTCTTGAAAGCCAAAATGTTTCAATTAAAAGAGAAACAAAAAACAATGGCTAGCAATTTCATTAGATTTGTTTTTCTTAATTAGACCATTTATATCATCATATGGACCATATGGTCCGACAACCAAGAAAATATCTTTGGCAATTTGACTTGTGAACTACCAAGTACTTGACAATCCAAGCAACTTGTTAGCCAACTTTACCCAAAACGAAAAAGAAAATTAAAAAAAGCAGTTGGCCATTTCACAAATAATCAGCTGTTGTTTTTACCAAACATGATCATAACCGAATAATATCCATAAACGCATCAAATTGAATACAATTGACATTTTTTAAGAGCTATACCCAGTTAATTTATCTGGGGGTATAACTGTCTTTTTAAGTACCAGTGAAGGAGTATATACGTCTTTTTATGTACTAGTTGAGGGGTACATGTGTAATTTCCTCACCAATCAGTAAAAGCAAGTTGCAAATAGTAATTAGACAGCTCACCAAAAGTACTGAACATATAATCATGTTTTTTCAATATATTTACAAAAATGTCATATGATTAACAAAAATTCGTTTATCTATCATATTAATTTGTATTTTCCCATTTTTAAAATAAATTAACTACAACAAAACTAACAATATAATTTAATTTGTTGAACCACAAAAAACAATATCATCTAACATACTAACACCTTATATGTGTGTATATACAATATACGCGTACGTACCTTGAATAT